AATTATAGAAACCCTTAAATAAACGCCAAATGATTCACATCAGCCTCTTTTAAGGCATTAAGAAGAAGATATTTTGTTAATGAATGAGAATGTGAACAGGAATGAGGCATGGATTTGATTTAATCATTATAGTCTCAAAAAAGGTACTGAATTGTGTTTTTCAGGGTACTAACACTGTCACTGCACTCTCAGAAATAAAGGTACTAAACTTTCTCTGGGTCAGTGCCCCTCCTGTCACTGGGGTGGTACCCATAAGGGTCCATCTCAGTACCTTTAGTCAGGGAACATAACAACCATAATCCACTGAAATGATATGTTCTAAGCTGTACTGACTCCACACTCCCCGTCTCGTCTCCAGGCTTTTATTTTACTGTTCTGTTTTAAAACATTCGGTTATGAAAAGGTACAAATACGAACTTTTCACCTGGAAAAGCTTATTTAAGGTTCACAATCAGACCTTAAAACCACTGTAGTACCTTTTGAGGGCACATTTACATTGTTTGAACCTTGATGAACGAAAAATGTACCTGAACAGAACCTTTATTTCTAACAGTGTAGGTGCAAACACTAGAACAGCATGTGAGTTGAAACTTCTTTGTTGTCAAAATAAAAGTAAACCCAGCTTAACAGTTTACCACACATTTTCCACATGGCTATCCAAATAAGGGTTCTGTTCCTGGCACAAGCCTTATTTTATTATGACTTGAATCTGATGAACAGTGACTGTTGTGTGTACAGTTCTTGTTTTGTGGAAAGAAAAATGCCATGTTTTTGTGAACGAATGTAAATGAAATTAAATTTGGCAGCTTAACAGGTAATTAAGCATGTAATTACATAATTGCATTTGAATAGTACAGCAAAACAAAAGTAATAACTCTAGGCAACTCTACACTTTTTTGTGTTGTAATTATCTGTGACTCAGTCTTTATATGCAGCCATGCTGCTGATTGTTTCCACTGTGATTCTGTGTAACTGGCCTGATATTAGTGTTTGTCACACATCTGATAGAACTATGACTAACTTAGGAAAATACTCTTTCAGTTCAGTGGCATATTGTGCAGCAGCTTTCTTGTTGCTTTAAGGAACAGGAGGAACTTTCATAGATTTACTGTACATATTACTTTAAATAGCAGGGCGTGTTTGTGTGTGAAGCTGCTGAATCACTCTCATAATTAGCCTCCCATCGCACTTTGGTCCTCTGAGTTGACATGGAGGCTCCAAGCCTCTCCTACTTCCCCTTCTGCTGCTTTTCATTTGCATAGTTGTTTACCTGACTTTACTAGTGTGAATTCGGGGAGACACTGAAATAATGGTCCTCTGCTTTTCATTTGCATAGCTGTTTATTCCACGTAGAGTTATTGCTGTGAATTCCATGAGATAGTCAAATTGCTCTGCTCTTCATTTGCATAACCTTTTTTTTGCGCAAATTCCAGTAGATGTTAAGTCGAGAGCTGTTACTGTATGGGAGGCAAATCCAGCCAAAAAAGAAATTAAAATGAAAACAAAATGCAAACCTCTTATTGCCGTTTCTTTTTCCAAACATCTGCACAAATATCCTGCCAAAGTTGAAAATGAAATGAAATACCTATATTTGCAATTTAATTTTTTCACGTAAGCATGAGTCATTTATGACAAAAAAAAAAAAAATTAAAACAGCTATCTGTCATTTCATTTTAGTTGTTACTGGTATTTTATGGCCATATCTAAAATGAAAAGCTAAGAAAAGGAAAAATCCAAGCTTCACTTTAGCTTTTCTTCATGAAATACGTAATACGTGTCAAAAATTAAGATCAAAATACAGTGTTTACATTCTTATTTCTTTTTCATAGCGATCGGCTGCATATCTGACAAAATGAAAATGCGAAATGGATAAATCAACAGTAAAGTGACAGTTTGCGATTCAGTTTTCGGTGCGGACGCACTTTAAGTCAAATGCAAACGAACATTGGTGCCGCCTGCTGGTGGTTTACTTTTCATTTCCCACTTTGCTTTTTCGTTTTCAAGTGAAACAACATGCAAATTTATTACAATTTACACTAGGTGGAGCCATGGGGTACATTTTAGGACATCCTCAGACCTCAGCATCAGAACGGCTCCCTCCGACTAAATGGTTTCGAGTCTCGGGAAAACCATTGTCATGTCTCAGATCTGGTTCAGCTGAACATGAGAAATTGTCAAACTCAGAAACGACGAAAATGGAGATACAAGGTTTTCTTCCAACAGCAACGATATACTGGTTTGTATAACTTAAACTATTGAATATCTTGATATAAATGGCAGTATAACATTTGCAAAATGTAGCCCCGCCTAGTGTTAATTAACATATATTTGCTTGTTAGTCAACTTGAAAATGAAAAAGCAAAGTGGGAAATGAAACGTAAATCACCAGCAGGTGGCGCCTGTGTTAGTTTCCATTTGCTTTTTTTATTCTGACGCCGAAAACGCAAACTGTCACTTTGCTGTTAATTTATCCTTTTTGCATTTTCATTTTCATTTTGTCAGATATGCAGCGTAGCGCTATGAAAAAGAAATAAGAACATGAACACTGCATTTTCATTGTAGTTTTGACACATATTATGCATTTCATGAAGAAAAGGCAGAGCCTCAGTGAAGCTTGGATTTTCTTTTCTCTACTAGCTTTTCCATTTTAAAAATGGCCATAAAATACCAGAATAAAGACAAATAAAATGACAACTAGCTGTTTTAAGTTTATTTTTATTTTTGTCACAAATGGCTCGTGCTTATGTGAAAAAATTAAATTGCAAACATATGTATTTCATTTCATTTTCAATTATGGCAGGATATTTGCGGAGATGTGTGGAAAAAGAAATGGCAAAAAGAGGTTTGCATTTACATTTTATTGTTTTCATTTTAATTTCTTTTTTTGGCTGGATTTGCCACCCGTAGTTACTGTTGTTGGCCAAAACCACTTAATAAATACAGTTTCCATAAAATAAGCTTACTAAAAATATAACAGTATATGCCGTGAAATCAGTACAACATCCTCAACAGTTGGTCATCCAAGGCAATGGATTCCATTATTTTATACACAAAATTTGTCATTTCTAAAACTGTGGCTCCAGATAGTGTTGTGGAGCTAGTGGGGTTTTCAAGTGGTATCAAACCTGTAATGGAGATGTTACTGATATGATTGTATATCACCACATACAAATACAAGGTTTAAAAATTTGAATGAATCCACATGTCTGGCAGGGTTTCTCCACTTACTTCAGTGACCTACAGGTAGAGCTGGGCGATATGGCCAAAAATGTTATCACGATAAACAAAATTCATATCGTTCGATATCGTGTTTTAAACTATCCTTTATGTTCAGAACATGACAAACACTCGCCAAACAATGGAACATTTCACAAATCTGTCATGGGAGAGTGGGAGAAAGTGTCTGAGCTGTTTTACCAGCTGGAAAAGCATGGCTATTTTTGTAATAGTCATAATTTAAGAAAGAAAACAGATTATTTTTAGCTGGTGCCGAGCGCTCGGCTACCCGTTACAAATGACATCACAGTATTCAAACACCAGCTAGACGACTGGATTTCTCTATACTATCGTAGTAGTTTAAGGGGTGAACCGCAAAATATCAACACCAGACAAACAGAGTCCTCTTTTTAGGAACGTTTAAACTGAAAGTGGTGCTTTTGTGTCTTGTCTGATCTACAGTATCATCAGTTCTCCGTGTTGTGTGAGTGACGAAGCGCTGCTTCAAGTTAGCCAGCTGCTAAAAACAGCTAGCCTGGAAAGATGGCGCTCTCCTGCTCTCCAATGCCTCACAGTGTCCTCAGTTTACTTTCGTTTAAATCAGAGCTGTAATTTACATGAACTCACTTCTTTCTTTCACTTTCGTTGCTTGAGAATGCACTCATACTAAATTATGACTGTCCGAGCGCTGTAACAGAGCTGTAGTTGTGAGGAGCAGACGTGATTTAACGCTGCTAAAGCTGTTAGGATGTACAGAAAGAGGTGAGTTCACTGTAGGACAACACAGTTACACCACTGATCTCGTCAGTCGCACTCGGTCACAGGAGAGCAGATCGCCGGTCGCTCCACTCAAACAGGGAATGTATAACTCCGCGTTTCAGCTGTGGCTAAAGACTCATCTTACTCGTGGCTCCCTCCCTCTCTAATCATGTAGAAAAACTCGGAAGTGTGCCCTCTCCTGGCGACAGCAGAGTAGTGTCGCTTTCCTTGCAGTAGAAAACGCCACGAAGGCTTTCGCTAGAACGTGGAAGTGTGCGAATGGTGTATTATATCGAACATTTATCGAACGTCGTATCGCTCTATCGAGGAAAAGTTATATCGCGATAATTATCATTATTGTTTTATCGCCCAGCCCTACCTACAGGTAAGAAGTAAGTAATAATAAATAACAGCCTGTTTTAGTTATCACAGGAACTGCAACTTCTAAGGGTGTAAATAATCTCTCAAACATCAGGGTATTGCAGCTTATTTGCTCTCTTGCTGGGACCCCTGTGAGGCGGGGCAGCCATATTGTTTATAATTGTCCAGAGAAGAGTTGCGGTTAGTTCAGGACAGCTGCTCTGAAACTACTGCTGGCATGCAGAACTAATCTCCGCTCTAGGGTGTGGTTCTTGGGTCTGTGGGCTGCTGGCAAGCTTAACTGGGCCAAGAGCACCTAGAAGGACCTACAGTATATCCAAAAGCAAGAAAGCAGTTTGTTTGTTTGTTTGTTTGTTTGTTTGTTTGTTTGTTTTACACTGCATGCTCATCCAAATGTAGTACGAGAAGTTTTTAAAAATATTTGTAGTGATGTTCTCGTACTCTGTGTCTTTGTTGATAACAGTTCTTATTTTTTAGACGTGAGGAAGCAGAACACTTCAGTGAAGCACTCTATTCCTCTATAGAGTCATATGTTATTCTATGCCTTAACTTCAGTCCATGAGGAAACACAGCTGAGTAATCAGACAACATTTACGTGGGTTTGTTCTCATTTTTGTAATGTAGTGACTTCTGATCTGTTTCAGAATGACCTCTTCCTACTTCAGAGCACTTGGATGACTCTTCTTAAGGGTTTAGTGTAGCACGGATATCCACAGCTCCCGTCTCACCTCAAGCTGATACCACTACTGCAGGACAGCAAGACCCAGCCAAAGTTCCAACAGCAGCAACATTCTGGTGACCACCGCCTCCAAACAACTCTGACAGCCCCTATAGGGGCCATGCCCCATCTGCTGAACAATGACACTTCCTTCAGCTCCAAGCAGGAGCTCCTGGACCTGCAAGATGGCCCTCTGGCCCCCAGCGTGGACACCCCGAGCCCAGTTGGGTCACAGGGCGATACATCCATGGGCTCCATCCCAGACAGTCCAGCCAGAGATGCCTCAGTCAGGACTGCCAAAAAAGGGGCTGAGCCCTCAGAGCCACCGATAAGGCTGAAGTTTGTGCCCTCGGACGCTGAGAACCTCTGTGGATGGGGTGCTTTGACTCCCAACTTCGTCCAGACCTTCAACACCCCTCGCTGGGTGCTTTTCTTCCTGTGCATAGCCTCCTTTCTCCAGGGCATGATCATCAATGGCTTCATCAACACGGTCATCACCTCTATCGAGAGACGCTTTGACCTTCGCAGCTACCAGGTCTGTCTTTTTATGTCAAGAGTGAGATAAGGAATGAAGGATAGTGAAATGGGCCATTCCTAGGCCTAGGCAATAAAATGATAATCAATCATACTGGGTTTTTTTAATTTGATTTTATAGAGTATTCAAAATGTTCAATAGCTTCAGCCCAACAAATTAGCATTAGGAAATGGTTAGAATAAGATAATTATTGGCAGTTACACCGATCAGGCATAACATTATGACCTTAGCCCCCTTTTACCCTGTTCTTCAGTGGTCAGGACCCCCATGGACCCTCACAGAGCAGGTACTATTTGGGTGGTGGATCATTCTCAGCACTGCAGTAACACTCACTGTCCACTCTATTAGACTCCTACCTTGTCAGTCCACCTTGTAGATGTAAAGGCAGAGACGATAGCTCATCTGCTGCTGCACAGTTTGTGTTGGTCATCCTCTAGTCCTTCATCAGCGGTCACAGGACGCTGTTGGCTGGATATTTTTGGTTGGTGAACTATTCAGTCCAGCAGTGACACTGAGGGCTTTAAAAACTCCAGCAGCACTGCTGTGTCTGATCCACTCAGACCAGCACGACACACACTAACACACCACCACCACGTCAGTGTTACTGCAGTGCTGGGAATGATCCACCACCCAAATAGTACCTGCTCTGTGAGGGTCCATGGGGGTCCTGACCACTGAAGAACAGGGTAAAAGGGGGTAACAAAGTATGCAGAGAAACAGATGGACTACAGTCTGTAACTGTAGAACTACAAAGTGCACCTATATAGTAAGTGGAGCTGATAAAATGGACAATGAGCTTAGGAACAAGGAGGTGGTCATAATGTTATGCCTGATGGGTGTATATTGTGATTAAGATGTCTGGCTATATCAGCCAACCCTAGATTACACAATTAACACAATATTGACTAAAGAGTGAGTCAGCTCAGAAGCGAAGGCACTGATTGGAATACAGTAACTATTAATAATTATCATGATAAGATGTCTTGCCATATCAGCCAGCCCTACATGGCACAGTTACGGCAATATTGACTTCAGAGTGAGTCAGCTCAGAAGCAAAGGCAAATGCATGTATATTAACAGGAAACTTTCATAGAACTGGTTTGCTGGACACTCACTAAGCATATTCCTAGGCCTAAAAGGATTTTAATTTAAGAAAGTCTGTACATTTCTAGGCTCAACCAGTACACAGAAAATCAGCCCATATTGTTTCCACCTTTTAAATCTGTCAATTTTTTTTTAATTGCTGTTTTCACAGGCTGGACTCATTGCCAGCTCCTATGACATTGCTGCCTGTGTGTGCCTGGCCTTCGTGAGCTACTTTGGCGGCACTGGCCATAAGCCTCGCTGGCTGGGCTGGGGAGTCCTGATCATGGCTATAGGCTCGCTGGTATTTGCACTACCACACTTCACTACTCCACCCTATCAGGTGAAAACACAGGAGCACACAGGACTGTGCTCGGCCAATCACACAGAGGTATGCGGGGACAGCGATGGGAGCGGCCTCTCCGCGTATCGCTTCGTCTTCATGCTGGGTCAGTTCCTACATGGCATTGGGGCCACACCTCTCTACACCCTTGGGGTCACCTACCTGGACGAGAACGTCAAGTCCAGCTACGCACCAGTGTATATAGGTGAGTGTGTCCAGCGTTTGATAAAAACACCTACACGTGATAAATATGTATGTACATGGTGCCCCAAAAAGTTTTTTTTAGAATGTTTTAAATAAATGAGCATGTTTTCTTTGGCGCACAGTAACTTAACATTTAAATGAACTGCTGTTCAGATCTTGCCATTGTTCACATGATGCTGTGCAGTGCTGGCCAATGTGGTGTTTGTTAGCTGATGTAACCTAATTAGCGGTTAGAATTTTCCAATCAGCTGTCCAATCATGTTGCGTTTGCATGTTAAAAGCAGCTTGAAAAAGAATGGAATGGCATGTAGACAAAAGCATTTCCCTCAAATTTAATATTTAAATTTGTAGGCCATTTTTGGAAAAAAAAAAAAAAAACATTGAAGACTTGAGGCCACAGGTTACTTCACAATGCACACATTGGGTGACATCACCAAACACACCACTCAGCACCGTGCTGTTACTGTACTGTATTAAACCCAGACCACAAATCCAGAGTAGGTGACATGGCTTATAATTTACACTGAGAAAAACATCCAATCTAAAGTCTTGAAGGAAAACAAATGCCAATTGTCTGTTTCCACCTCTGGCGACGCTGCCTGTATTTACTGTTACTCTAACTGTATTTAACCTTGTATGTATTACACTGAAAAACATGAGTTAGATAGTTGATACCAAACATGTTAAATTGACTAAATAGAGCGTTTTATTCCATCTAAGTGTCCACTTGCGCTTTTTTTCACTGCATTCTGCTGTGCCGGATCTCTTTGTTTACCACTGCTGGGTGTTCCTGTGTCATTATAGAAATGAAGGAATAGTACTGAACATGTCTAGAGCAGTAAACAATCTGATACGCTGTTGCACAGAAACTTATGAGACTAAAATATAGATGTATGCCTTTATAATCTTCAGAATGTATCAGTCATCCACACAAGCTAGAAAGCTAGCTCACTAGCAAACTAGCTATGTTAGCAAGTAACCATTGAGCTCTGTACGATTGAAAATTTGCCTTCTTGTTCAAACCATGCAAACTTTATCTTCCACCCAGATCCTCAGTGTCAACAGTTCTGTGTAAAACCAGATATTTTCATTATTACATATGTCATTCAAAAGATTCAGCCACTGTTGCTGTTCTTGATAAACAAACATCAACCACTGCCTGATTGGCTAAACACAATGTGGCAGCTGCATCGTTGAAGGTGGCGAGGCGAAGTTGTAAGTGGACACATACCGCCACACGTTTACTGCATGTCACAATGCAGGATGGGCAGCAAATACAATCTTGGCTAAACTCCTTGTCAGATTATGTGAATTCAGTTACGCTGCACATCAGATTACACAGATTTTTTGCCGATGGATTTACGATGCAAGAAAAATGGGGACATTCTGCAAGCGCTTTCTTCTTTTGCTGGAAAATACGGCCACACAAGCCAAAAAAAATAAAACTAATAATAATAATATCGGTCAATCCTTTGTGTGAAAAACTATGTATTAAGAAGGATATGTTAGATCTATTGTCTGGAGGAAAATGGTTACATAGAATTCTCAAAACCTTGAAGTCAGTAGGCAATATTTGTGTCCCCAGTGCGATAGCGGTGTCACAGTGTCTCTGGTGACAGCTAGCTCTGCTATTTCAGTGCAGGTCACTCGGTACGTGAACTGAGGGCCGAGCCAGACTAGCAGCGTAAGCGAATGTGTTTAAACTTGTGAGCAATAAAGTTTTAACCTTCATTTATCATCTCTCTCTGCCTCTCGTGCACATATACGTTATTTCATTCTGCTCCTTATTGGATGCTTTAATCCTGTGTTGTAGCAGCGGTCACACCGAGATATTTTGGCCTCATTTTCTGTTTGACAGCGAAACTGAATTGTGGGCTGTCTTTGGTTGCAAAGGCAGGAAATCAGGAATCTATTTGAATCCATGATCAAAGAATTTGTTGCGATTTTTGTCTGTTACAGTATTATCATTAATATTAGATACTATAATACTAGATCTAAATACTATAGTACTAAATCTAAACACTATAGATCCTCTGCCAGCGCGGTGCGGCACTTCTTGCCTGTTGTCTGGTAGCCTTTAGCCGGCCGCAGTAGTCTATCTAGGCTTCCTTCTTGGGACTAAACAGATGAGGAATGTAAGCCACAGGTTCTGCCAAGCCCTCCGATGGGATACAGAGTTCAAACAGCTCATGGCAAATGAGAATCTATAACATCAGAGTAGGCCTGTCACAATTATTGCATAATCGCCTAATTGCATTATATGAGGTGATCACAGTTATGTAAACTGACTTTAATCATTTTCCACAGTCATTATGTTTCACAAAAAACATAAAGCTGCTGCAACAAGCAAAATGTGAATTGATGATAAATGTAAATAAAAATAAATACTTTCTTTGAGACATATCAGTAGGGCTGCAACTAATGATTATTTTGGTAGTCAACTAATCTGTTGATTATTTTTTCGATTAGTTGATTAGTCGGCGATTATTTCTGTCATGCCCTCCATCTCTGCGATGTCTACTAATCGTTGCAGCTCTACACATCAGTAAACAGAAAAAAGTTCTACATTTTAATTCGGAGCTGTAACATATCTAGAGCGAAGCACAAGTGATGCTCGTTTATTTGTTAGCTATGTAGCCAATTCTAATGTCTTTGAAATGTATACTAGCATAAGCTTTGCTTAACTACACATGATTCTATGTAACTATGACGTTTTTGCGTATCAGTTCGACAGTGCTACCAGTGTAACCATTGCTAGGAAGCAAGATGGCTAATAGGACAATTTGTCCACTTTAATAGAGAAACGAAAAAAATGTTAATGCAGTATTTATATGAAAATTAATCACCAACTAAAATTTTATGATGTAATTTTATGATTTTAAACTTTCAGGACTATTCAAATACTCAGCGATTCTGACTCATCCCTGGTGGCTGTCTCGAAGGAAGCACAGGCTTCACTCTCCCATGTTTGTAGCATCAGGTGATGATAGTGGGTGGAATTGGTTCTGAACAGTTGGAGGAAAACAATAGCCTTTTTTTTGCCCAAATAGAAAAACTAAAGGAAGAACTGACGAGTACTTCCTACCTTGAGAATAATTCGATACCTCACGCATTTGTTGTGATGTCAGAACTCAGCAGCACTCAAACCTTTCAGTCATTTAAACCACTTTTGAGGCAAAAGAAGGAAAAGAAAACTCAAATCATTGAGTGTGTTTACATGCACTCAATAATCAGATCATCATCGGATTTCTGAAGTTATCCGATTATTCAAATGGTCATGTAAACCCCATACTCCAATCTAGAAATCCGATTAAGAAATCAGATAAAGAGGCTGGGTTTTAGCTCAGTAATCAGATTTTTAAGTGCACGTAAACTCTTACTCTGATTTCTTTCGGGTTTCTCAGTCTGCGCATGTGTGAAATTGCTGTGAAATGGAAATAAGCGAGCAGCGCCGCTGCGAGACGCAGGAAAACACTTGGAGCGACACTGAAACCAAACACAACATGAAGGATTTAAATATTCTTCATCGTCTAGATGATGTATGTTCATATTTTCAGGTAAAGTGGCGCAATGTTTTTTTTTAAAAAAGCTGCAGTATGAAGTTACGTTCCGTTTACGTCACGTCTTCTTCTGTGAGTTTGTTGGCTCGTTGCAAAGTAGAAATCCGATTACTGCCTGACTCATGTAGATCCGGAATTTCCCCATTATCTGATTACTCAAGTGCATATAGACGTGTTGATCAGATTACTGACTAAATTGGCACAACCTGCTCCAACAAGAACAAGGGGCAAGTACACTCATAGTAAGGAAGATACTCCGATGAATATGAGGCTGAGTATTTCAAAATGTACCCAAAGTATTTGTACAGTGGTTCTCAACCTGTGGGCCGCAGTGGTACTGCTAGGGGGCATGGCCTTTTTAAAAATTTTTTTTTCACAATACGTGGACATTTTTATTTGAAATATGACCAATCAATTGCAAAAACAGATCATCGTATTTAGGTTGACCTCTTTTATTAGTCTTAGCTATGTTAACATTTGAAGTGCAAGTCAAAGTAAAGCGTTTCTCTTTTCTTTGTATGGAATTCATCCATCATGGATAAATGGTTACAAACAGGGTCTTTCAAAAGAAAAATCAGAGGCTGGACCACCTACAAGTGAAGTAAAGACAAATATGGCAATGAGTACTGTGCCTTTTCACGCCGTGATATCTCCTTTACTCCTCACAAAACATGCAAACGATGACAGAGTGGATTTATTTCCATTCTGGAAAAATGAAAGGAGCACGGAGAGTTTCAGCATCTCATTCAGGAGCTCAAACTTCATGAGAGCTTTAACAGCTCGGATGTTTGTAGCTCAGTTTGAGCCCCATTTAAGCTGCTTTTGGAGATGCCAACACCATCTGTGTTGAAGCAGAGGACAAACAAATTCTGTTACCGGTGTTATTTCAGACAGAGTGCTAATAAAATAAAGTCACATTTTTCGCCAATCGAAAAATTGTGTACAATGTGCAGGATAATATCAGTTATACATGCGATTCACATTTCCGAGAATAGAAAACACTCGAAAGACCTTTTTTAAAGTAAAGCTTTGAAGCCAAAAAAATGACAGCATCAATTGGAGGCTAAACAAACGTGCAACTGAGCCAGACCTTCTTTCACAGCTTTCATTTCTTCAGCATGTCATCCAGCAGCACTTGGCAGCTGCCAACATCAGTTCATTAGGTGAGCTTTTTTTTATTGGGTTGCATTTTATTGTAAAACTAATTGAAATTGACAGGCCTAAAATGTCTGTAAATGATCTGGTCAGTAAAATCTCGTAGGCCGCGGAAGCTTCTGTGGTCAGCTGTGTGGGCTGCAAGTTAGAAAAGGTTGGGAGCCTCTGTATTAAATAAGTTGACAAACCTTTGTAGGTATTACCTGTTGCTTAACTGTAAAAGTACAAGTAAAAATCAAACATGACTTCGAAAAACGAAAACACTTTAGATGGGCAGCTATTTTTGAAACAGTCACTGGAAATTCACGATTGAGACTGTATTTCTCCACAAATTGTCCACTAAAACCAAAATACTTGACTCATAAGTCTTACTACACCCATCACATTGCTGTTGACCACCTCAGATCCATCAGTCCTTTCACTGAAGACAGGTTTGGTTTGCTAAATAGCGGTTTGTTGTGTACATGCAGCTTAAGACGACCCTCCCCCAGACTAAAACATAGGTGAGACATCTTTGTATATGTCTTCTGGGTGGCCTTAATGTGGTTTTTGACTCTGTTTTTCCATTCCGTTGAAAGGATGGGCGCGACTCACTTATGAGTGAACAGGAAAAAAGCATAAGTGATATGTAAGTCGTTATGTGGGGGGGGGGAGGGGCAGGGTGCTTATTTTCCAGTTTCTTAACAGGATGTGCTTTGGTCTTGTGACTAAGTGCATTTCTTCAAAATAGTGTTTAAAGGCCTTTAAAATGTCATGTAAAGCACTATTACGAAATAATGGGCCAGGCCGCTTATTGATGTGCCAACCCAGCGTGACATTACGCTTTTGTGCAACACTGTCACTTCCAAAATTGTGGAAATGAAGAGTAATTTATGCTATTTATTATATGTGCAGCTTAAAATTACACTGGAAATGGAGTAGCATGCCTGTAATTTTGCATCTCTTAGGCACTAATGCACCCAGCTGCCTGAGTTTTATCAGCTTTATCCTCTAGCTTCCACCTCAGACATCAATAAGGCGTCCTTCAATTGTGCTGCTTCCCAGTCTTCCCACCATTTCAAAGACAATCGAAGACAATCGTGACCCCGGTCGCCTCTCTCTCCCAGACAAAGCCGCCTGTAAAAGCGGTCTGGCCCTCACCCGCCGCACTATCGATCAAAAACACAACACCACAGGTGTGGGCGAACTGGAAGCTGTTTAACAATGGAGATTTTTTTTTCCCCTTAACACTCCTGGGGGCGGCAGGGCGAGCGGCGGAAAACCTGGTCCTCAAACACTAGTATGCTAAGCTAATGTGCCTCCCCTTTTTCCAGGTATCTTCTACACAGCAGCCATTGTGGGCCCGGCAGCCGGATACCTGCTGGGCGGCTTCTTCCTCAACATGTACACAGAGATTGGACAACCGTGAGTCCTTCAACATCCCTCCTCCTGTTTGGTTTCAGGGGTCAGCAGAGTTTTAACAGGTTCAACGAGGTCATGGTGGTGTCAGTTGAAAAATAGACAACATTGTTTTTCCTTAAAGATGAATTTCACTGATTATACAGATGTTTGTGTGATTCAGCTGGTTATATGTAAACAGTCATTCTGAGTGGTTTGATATGAAATGGTTCATTGTGGAGAAACATTTTATGCATTTAAGCTCAGGCTGTTATCTCAGGCAGATAGCTAAATAATGGTAGCGATTTATGTCAGTCCAGTAATCACATTTTTTGCTAAGTATTCATTTATTTGTTTACTTTTTATAGTTCTATAAATATTTCTGTAGATTAACACATGGATATATACCTAGTGAGTCTTCTTAGGTTTAAGCATTACTTAAAAGCAGAGCAAAACTGATACAGCATGAAAAAGCAATGTTGTAAAAATCATACATGAGGACGTACATTCAAATTTGTAAAAATAATTCTAAAAGTAGAATATGAATAATCATAATTATGAGTAGCGAGCTTACTGGGGCAAGTGTCAGGTGTAAAGTTGAGCATTTTCCATAATTTGACACAAAAAACAATCAATAAAATTAAGTGTTATTGTGTGTATTAGAGGCAAACTAACTCCAATTGTCATTGATAATTTCAATTACAAGCCCAAAGAAATGTTTGAAAGTCATGTTTGTCATGAAAGCTCATCATCTGAACAATTCGCTGTTGTTGGAAGAAAATCTTGTATCTTCAAAATGGTAACTTTACAGGAGAAGGAAAAAACCTACTTTACTTTTAATGCAAGTCAATGGAACCAGACTTTTTTCCAAGTTATTTTGGGCTGTTTCTTTTGGTCCATTCATCATGAAATTTACACACAATGTAAAGGAAAACAGGCACTTTCAATATGTCAAAAACTGGAAAACGACAAAAATGGAGATACGAGGTTTTCTTCCGAGAACAGCGAATTGCTAATGATTAAACGAAAAAGTAGTTGTTTATATACAATGATTTACCAGCAGTGTTTTTAAACTGCTATAGTCAGTTTATATTTAAGTAGCAGTCCAAACTGTTCTGACTGCTATTAGCTGTGTTACATCTTTAGCCGTTAACTCAGAGAAGCTGTCTTAAGATAGGAAGTAACACTGTCATATAGGTAATTATTTTTTTCATTAATCTTTTTAATATTTTGTGATTATTGTGAACACTTTCCTTGTTTCTGACAATAAAATCAGAATAAGGTTTCTTTCCTGGAGCACATTTTAAAGCTAAGCAGCTTTGATACGTTCAGGATGGTCACTCTACACTCACACATATATATTATAGTAAGACAATTCTGTTTACTAAAAATTCATAGTAACAAAATGACTTTGTTTGCTGTAATGAGAACTTGTATTTTTAAACACAACAATTCTAAAAATATTTCTTATTTACCGTATAATCGGGCTCATAGGATACTTGGTCCCCTCAAAATAATAAGTCTTAAGATCAATACCTGAGTATGTAGCCAGGGGTCAAGGGGTTAAGGACATTTCTCTAGAAAATAGTCATATCAGAGCCGGTTTATGAGGAACCTGGCCACTTCCTATTTCCCCCATTATATCAAAAACAGGACTTCAAAACAGCAGAGAGCGCCCGCGAGCGAGTCCTCAATTAATGGGAGTAAATGGAGCTAAACAGGAAAAAAACTAAAAGTTAAAATAGTTTCTAATCACTCGCCCAGAACTTTCCTTTAAAGTAGAAGGATGTATTTCACTAAAAAGCAAAGAAAACTGACCTGTATGTTTAATTTTTTCTTCAGCAAACGGGTTTTGGGCTTCAGAACGCTGGCATTACTGCTACTGAGTGCTGATTGGTTGGTGAGTGGAGCAGCTCATTGGCTGTTCGTGCTCACAAACGTCATGAATGTACATATGGCACCATTTTAAACTCAAGTTTAAAAGCTCTTAAATATAACAGCAGTATTAAAATGTTTTATGCTGTTCTGTGTTCAGGAAATGAATGTATTCTTTTACATTAAAAATGTTTTAGCATTTATAAACTATGATTTTACTCAAATGCTCCATCTTAACCTATTTTGGACTCGCTCGGGAGCGCCCTCTAGTGTTTGAGAAACCTAGAAGACATTGCAGAGCAGTAATTCTCCTCTTCTCGGGTCATATAGTGGTTGGAAAAACAGCTGAAGGCATAGGAACTAGTGTCTGCTGGTCAATAGCTGAATAAGTTTTTCCTTTACAACATTTCCCCCATGATACAGCAAGGTAATTAAATATGGACTAACCCTCAGCTGGACTGAAATGAATTGCAACATTTATGAATGACCATGCTTCACTTTCCACTTCTCTCTCTATTTGTTTTAACGGTCTGTGACAGAAACAAGAGTTTCGTTATGTATAATTCTTCTCAAATGCTTTCGTTTTTGCTCTCCTTTTATTGACTCACTTGTTGACCTGAATGAAAAACATTCTGTCCATGTCTCTCCTCATTCTTCCAGGACTGAGTTGACTCCTGAGAATCCCTTGTGGGTGGGAGCTTGGTGGATCGGTTTTCTGGCTGGAGGGGCTGCTGCTCTTTTCACTGCTCTGCCTATCCTGGGCTACCCCCGCCAGCTACCAGGTTACAGTCCATCTACCTACAGCAAAAAAATAAAATAAACCAAACCCTGAGAACTAGGGCCGAGTAGTGAAATTCAGTACAACCAAGTTACTTTAAATACAAATTTTAATATTTAGGTATTCACTCTTAACAGTGTCGGTGAGCCTATAATCATGCTTCTTCCAAAATCTACACTGGTGATTGGCTGGCCAAACTACACAGCATAACATGTTATTAAGGCCAGCACTTATTCAATTCTGTATGTACTGTACAATGATATGCAAATTATGTAAACCATATTTTTAAAGGAAAATACTACAAAGACAACATATGAAATGTTGAAACTGAGAAATTTTATGGTTTTTTGAAAAATATATGCCTATTTTGAATTTGATGCCAACAACACGTTCCACAAATTTGGGACGGGGGCCTGTTTACCACTGTGTTTCATCACCTCTTCTTTTAACAACACTCTGTAAGCATTTGGGAACTGCACGGCTGGACTCTTTTAATACAGAGCAATGCTGTTGTAATACATGCAGAATGTGGTTTTACATTGTCTTACTGAAATAATCAAGGTCTTCCCTGAAAAGACATGATTTGGATGGCAGCAGATGTTGCCAAAACCTGTTTAAATCATTCAGCATTAATGGGGCCTTCACAGATGTGCACATCACCCGTGCCATGTGCTCTAATGCACCCCTACACCACCATCAATACTGGCTTTTGAACTGTGCACTGAAAACAAGCTAAATGGCCTTTGGCCCAGAGGACGCAGTGTCAATGATTTCCAAAAATAATTTCAAATGTTGATTCATCAGACCACAGGACTCTTTTCCACATTGCCTCAGTCCATTTTAAATGAGCTCGGGCCCAGAGAAGGTGGCAGCATTTCTGAATCCTGTTTATATATGGTTTCTCCTTTTGTGTTAGAGTTTTAACTTGCATTTGTGGATGCAGCGATGATTTTTATTTGCTATTTTATGTTGAGAAACGTTATTCTTGAATTGTTGCACTATTTGAACGTGCAGTCTTCCACAGAGTGGTGAACCCCTCCTCGTGTTTAGTCTGAAAGACTCAGCCTCTCTGGGATGGGTTTTTATACCCAATCATGTTACTGACCTGTTGTGAATCAACCACCAGGTGTTTTTTAGCATTGCACAAATTTACCAGCCTTTTGTTGCCCCCATCCCAACTTTTTTGGAATGGTTTGTTGGCATCCAATTCAAAATGGGCATATATTTTTCAAAAAACAATAGAATTTCTCAGTTGCAACATTTTATATGTTGTCTTTGTACTACTTTCAATTAAACATAGGGTTTAAATGATTTGTATATCATCATTGCATTTTGTTTTTTTTTGTTTTTTTTTACATTTTGCACACCGTCCCAACTTTTCTGGAAATTCCTGCCAAAATGGCCATTAAGTATTTTTCAGGAGATATTTCTGAGGAGATAAGATGTTAAGATAATCTACCTGTATAAGGAAGGGAAAGATTTAAGGGAAGATTGTGTAGCTGTCAAGGAGTCATCACTGAAAAAAGGACATAGACAAAAAAGAACATATGCAAATAATCTGCTGGTGTTCTCAGGCTAAAGGACTGACCATATTGTTTAATGAACATGAAGCCGAGTGTAGTAAAATCTATCCCAAATATCTACATAAAAAAACACCTTTCTTAACTGAAGGCAGTGAGCCGTGTGCGACGTGCTGATCAATTTATTATTTGTATTTCCCCCATGCTCACAGGTTCTCAACGCTATGTGGCCATGCGTGTCTCTGAGGCTCATCAGCTGAAGGACGGCAGTCAAGTAACCGCCGCTGACCCTCAGTTTGGCAAGACTGTGAAGGACATGCCGAGGTACAAGCACAATGTGTTCTCTTCAAAAGCGAGAGTAAAGACGACGCACAGGTTAACACCACTGAGAGAGGGAGATGAAGAGCCACACGAGTGAATTAATAGAAGCTGTAAAGGACAAATTGGGAATAACGTGATTCAGATTACGGAGAAAAGAAAACCATTAGGGCTGCGGAGGATGGTTCCACACAGACGGCAGATGGTGAAGCACAATAAGGCCATTTAGAAACAAGCCTGTTTGGTCATGCTCACGAAGGGTTTTGGCAAGGTGTGTGGGAGAAAAGAAAACTCTCCTCCTCTGTGGCTGTAATGACACACCGCTGCTCTGATGTGCTTTCATGGTTGTGCTTCAGTCACTTGCTTGTCATTGCAGTAAAACTCCAGTACAGGATAAAAGCTATGTCAAAGCTGACTGGTTAACAAACAGTATGGCCACTGAGGATTGGCCGAGGAAGACAGTGCAACTCCAATCATTGGTTGCTTGGTTAGTGTGATGAGGTCTGGATGAGGTTAAGGTTTTAATAGGCTTAAGGCTTTAGTTAAACGTGGTCCATGGGCCATGGCTTGAATCACTGTGGCAACGTGGATTACTGAAAAAAGGCTAAGCAGCAGCTTTTAAATCAGGTTATATAAGCTGGCAGTGTAAATGCACCATTATGTAACTTCTGCTTGAAAAAAAAAGAAATACACTAGTTTTAAATGTCAATCTTGAAACCCTTAGAGTTTATTACATTTGTATTATCTGATACTATACACCTTTGTTTATATCTTGTTTATTATTCGTCTCTCTAGGTCAGTGCTACTATTGTTGAAGAACCCTACATTTATTTTTCTGTGTCTGGCTGGTGCTACAGAGGCCACTCTCATAGCTGGGATGTCGACATTTGGGCCCAAGTTCCTGGAGTCCCAGTTCAGTCTGAGTGCCTCAGAGGCAGCCACCTGGTTCGGTAAGTCAGCCACACTATGTGCGCTCATTTCCGCGTATGCTCTCTTAGCAGACAAACACAGACAAAACACACTGTCTCACTCTTGGTTCCTCCCAAGGCTACATGGTGGTCCCAGCTGGTGGGGGTGGCACCTTCCTGGGTGGCTACATTGTGAAGAAGCTGAACCTGCGCTGCCGGGGCATCATTCGCTTCTGCATGCTGTGTGCCGTGGTCAGCCTGCTGGCCATCTTCATTTTTCTGCTGCACTGCCCTAATGTGCCAATGGCTGGAGTGACCGTGCCCTACCACAGCAGCCCCTTCTACCTGCAGCCAAACAGCAACAGGTACTAACAGCTGCAGTACATGAGAAACAACGCAGCCAGTCACACTGGATTAGGGAGTGGCTGATATATTGATTGGAAGATAATATCAACCAGTACAGAGGTCAAAGAGATTTATTGGTATAAAAGATATAAACAAATGATACCAAAACTACTAAGAATTCTTCGTAGTGCTGCCCAAACACTAGTTTGTTTAAAACTTTGGGAGTTTCGACTGAGTTTAAAGCCCATTTCACACCAGATGCGGCAACCGTGCTCCCATATTAATCCATGTAGCCTTCCACACCGGTCTTACTGTGGCGGTAACACACGTGTGAAGCACAAAAATATGTTCTGGGTCTATTTCCGACGAGTGTTGCACGCAGCATTCCAGTAGTTTCTATACGGAAACAGTAGAGAAATGCAATGTCTATGCTATAAGATACAATCAAGGGTAATAAACATATTAACAAATCTAGTTTTAACTCTGACAGGCTGACTGAAATCCCTTGAGTAGGTTAATGCTGTGAACACACAGGCGTCTCCTCCTCTTCAAAGCCAGCAACAGTCAAGGCAGTTGGTCAAGATTTTATTGTTGATCTGTTTTTCATCTACATAAAGCTTATATGAGTAATAATCGGACATCACACACATTCATATTACATGAAAATGCAACACAAACAGCAACAGCTCTTGCTTTGCGACACGTGTGTGTCGCGTCTGGTGTGAAATAACAAGCGTCCCATAGTGGTTCCGAATTAACACGCGTGCCGCTTCGCATCTGGTGTGAAACAGGCATAAGAATTGTGACAGTTGAGAACCTACAGTCATATTTGGCTATTCACAGCTGACAACTGACAATCTAATCATTCAGTAAAGCATTGTTTGAAAATCTAGATTAAAATTGAAATCCAAAAGTAAAATTGTATTGGATGATATCAGTTGAATTTTTTTAACCACTCAGTCAAGAGCATTTTGATGGGTCCCTAAGTGGCACAGCTGGTAAAGACTGCCCAAATGACTCTGCTGTCTTTTTCCCTGTAACCCCTGCAAACTGCAGACCTATTGTTGAAGTCTTACAAAATAATTATTCAATAACTATTGAGATAATATTCAGTAACTACTGTGAAACATCTTTGTAAGTTATGAGAGTGGGGAATAGAAGTGTGGGCCCACATACAGGCCCTTATGCTGCATTTACATATTGGCGGTAGATGGGCGACAGTGCAGCGGCAGAGCATCCTCCTGCATTTTTATTTTCAGTGACTACATGTGAATGCAGGTTTAGGGTTTAAGGTTTTAACTTTTTTTTATATATTTAATTCTGATTCTGAGCTTATTTTGGGGAGGGGCTTGTTATCACAAGTTTGTTTTCACACAAGAGAATTTCTTCCAAACCATGGACTAGTTGCACAATTCCACATATCAAAATGGTTGATAATCAGTTCATCGCTTTACTGTTTTTAAAAAGAAAGGGATGGCAGCTCTATAACCCGCCACTGTGGTACTTTTTAACTCAAATAGGATAACAATAGTACTGTTTATTGCAGTCATTCTTTAGACGATAATCATTTGTCTAAATTCACATTGCGGGATATGTGTTGTGTCCTTGAGCAGCTATTCTCACTTTTTAGCCGTGCAGGACGCCATGAGACGTGCCTTATTCATAATATTGTCAGTACAAAAACTTGCTTCACTTTGTGACGTATTCCCTGCCATTACAAAACTTAAAGCAGTGAGTAACATGACACTAAGCGTGATAAGCTTTCACTGATCATGCTCAGTACTGTTGATGTGGACTGCATCAACATTACAGAATCGGTCAGTTAAAGACATTGACTGTTTTTGGTCTAGAGGCTAAGCAGTCAAAAATCCCGAACAATTTAATGGATACAAAGCTATTGTGTATTCTGTTATATCTAACCAAGAGTTGTGTGTCATTTTATTTGCAAAACACTTAGAATTCTTATATAGTGACCTGAGCTGATCTGAGGTTCTTATTACAGTTACTGTGTTTCATAAAAATAAAACACCTCACATTTCACAGCCTCATTTACATGGAAGCTTTATTTGGTTATTGCAAACTGCTCAGGTTACAACATGACAAAGTATACATTGCATGAAGGTAGATGTAAGGGTCTCGTCTGTGCCGCCGGCTGGCAGCAGAGGGCGACAGCAGCGAGGCGGCGCCAGTTCAGGGAACTCCAATTCCCAGAAGCCCTCGGGCTGATTAGGCCCAACCTGGCACACCTGTGGACTCCTCTACTTAAGGCCGTGGCAGACAGCAGCCCTTTGTCACACCTTTGTAGAGGGGTGACCGGTATGGTACTCAGTGTTGTTAAAGGAAAGGAAAGCTGAGAAAAAAAAGAGAAATTGCCCTAAAACAACAGAAAGAAGAAAAAGAAGGTTAAAAAGAATAAATTTGTGCCTGTGCTTCCCAGTGGCACAGCGGTAACTCCTCAGGCCGCCATTCAGTACATCGGCGGTTTGTGCCTCGCCCTGAGCCACCTCAACCCCAACGTGCAGAATCGCTCGATTTGCACTCTGTCACGTCATTAAATAATTTAAGACCCTTTCTCACAGGTTTTCCTCTCTGCACTTGGGTCCGCCTCCCTGCCATCCCCAAAACAACCCTACAGAGAACTGGGCCACATACTTACATGCCCAGCCAGCAACAACTTCCCCTTTTCAATATGTGATTTCTGCTGCCCTGTACGAGGCCTGAAGCTTCAACCCTGCTGTCACAGGATCCTGCATTTCCATTGTTAACTGCTCAGTAAAAAAGACATTCACAGTTTTTGGACCACAAAGCAAACACTTGTCATAAACACAGCTGATTTTTTTTTTTTTCTGGGTAATTTAATTTTCTAGGTCGATTACTTTTATTTAGCTGATTTAGCCAGAATCAGCGTAAGTTTTCTGAGCTGCCAGCTGGCTGAAATGGCAATGTTGGATGTAATAAGCCAGCACTGGGTGTCTTGTACTTGATCAGCTTGTGGCTGAATCTTACATGACTTCTTACTCCCTCCATAGTGCACTATATAAGCCATGTACAAACAGTTTTTACACCCAAATAGCCCAATATATATCTAATAGAAAGCCATTTAAGTTATATCCAACCATATTGTTAGTTTTTCTTCTTTTGATTCTGATTTTGCACCGAAACGAATTGAGCAGACCAAACCATAAGTCATACTGACATGATACTTGGTCAGCTGGCACTCCTGCTTGCTACTCAAGCTTGAAATGAGCTTAAAATAGTGAAGATAAATGATTGATTCAGCTTTTTAATGCTAAACATCTTTGCGATTACAACACTTGTCCGAGTTTGTCAGGTATTTTCACTTATTTGTTTTGTTTCTACTGTTTGCTATACCAAGGTCAGAAGGTCAGTTTCACTTAAACTTGACAAACATCATCTTTGAACATTCTTCATCAAGAATCGTGGTAAATAGAGGCCTTCTTCAAAACTCTGTCTTTAAATTATCTTCTGTCTGGGACAAATCCATACAGGCCTCCTCGTGCTGATGGAGCTTGGAGCAATTATAACCGCAAAACTGCCCAAACCGTACAAACAAAACTTGAAGGTTACGTTCATGACCTGTTCCCCACACCATAGATTATGCTGCAGAGTGCTGATTAGTGCTTGGGCCTTGTGTAGTGATGCTTGCAATGATGTTATTTTACTGTATTTTGTTCTATGAAAGGGACAGAGGAATTTGTAATGATATAACTATTTTCTTTGCTAATATAAGCTGATCAAAGGCACAGCTGTGCTAATTAACAGATGAAGCTTTGTGTTGTGTGTGTGTGTGTGTGTGTGTGTGTGTGTGTGTGTGGAGATATATACATATACACACACACAAACATAAGGTACATTTAGATGTATTTGGTCTGTTACTGGTAAAAACATCCCTGATACTCGTTGCTCCCTGCCTGTAATGACTGTCCAATGTGTCTGTGTTCTGATGAATTATAATGCCCTGTTGAAATGTCCCACCAAAGCGTATATTTACATGTAGTTGTCTACATAAAACTATAGGTAAGATGTTTTGACAGCTTTAATTGCCTTATGAGAAATTGGTACCTGCATTAAATGTATAGGCATATTATTTTGATAGCCTTAATATACAGTGAGTCTGCATAATACATTTGGAATAAGACTGAATCAACATCAAAAACACTGAACTTTAGTAACAAGTTACAAAACTAGACTAATGATACATGAATGTGCAGTAGGACCGAAATGGGACAAGATGTTTGAATGCCTTGCTCATAAGTTCTCTAATTTCTGTGTTTATTATGCTAATGTGCTCCACTGAGCGGTCAATGGAGAAACTGCAGGGTCCTGTGACTGTGGGACTAAAGCTACAGGCCTCCCTCAGGTCTGCAGCAATCCCTCAGTCCCTGTTAAACGGCTAATCGTTTACATCGGTACTCACTACCAAGGTAAAAAGAGGTAACTGGTGGTGAAAATGCAAAATTATTGTCATGAATTGGGCATTTCTGCTACTTTCTGAGGCCATGTTGCAGCATTTTAATAATATTTTCTCATATTGACAGCTTGCCATGTCTAACAGATGTGGAATGCCTGACCTGGGAGGAAACAGAGAAACTCTGTGTGTTTGTGTTTGTGAGTCAGGGCCGTCCACATGAAAGCACTGCTCCAGGCTTGTGCATTCAAGAATCATGAAGATGATATAAATCCAGGCAGCAGCACTAAGCAGCAGTGCATACTGTCTTCTGAGTGTTCTGTGTGTCTTCACAAAGCACACAGCGCCCAAGGAGAGCAGATAATAATCTCACTCTTCTCTTTCTCAGTTCTTTTTCAGGTGGGAATCTGACAGTGGGCTGTAATGCAGACTGTCACTGTGTGAAGGAGCACTATAACCCCGTGTGTGGAGCTGACGGGGTGATGTACTACTCCCCCTGCCACGCTGGCTGTGGCACTGTCAACCACACACACAGCCATGGCAGCAGACAGGTACGGTATAGACTCAGCATGGTCAACACCGCTCATATAATCTGGATTAGCCTTATGATGATCAGCCAGTCCAAACAGTTCTGAAGGGGAAAGTGTACCTACTTAACCATCAATATAGACAGTGCAGTCAGTGTACTGCATTAGTACTGTCCTTTAGAGCCCAATCCTAGAACAGTCTTATGGATTCCTGACTGTTTTCAGAGTTATTAGCTGCGTCCCAATTCAGGGGCTGCGTCCTTCGAAGGACACGCCATCGTAGACTGCGTCCTTCGAAGGCTCACGAAGGCAGGCGGATTTCCTGTTTGTGTCACAGCACAACCACCCATTGGATCCTTTGTTGCCATGGAAAAGGACACATTTCCAGCCTTCAAAATGGGACAGCCTAGTCGCGCCGCTGTGACGCAATCGGCCTTCAAATGCAGCCTCCGAAGGACGCAGCCCTTGAATTGGGACTCAGCTAGAGAATTATCAGTTTTTAAGAAAACATTCCACACAACCCGGAAAAAAAATGCTGTCAATGTTACAAGCTGACTTCATTTGAAAGGTGATTGAAATCTCTTTTAATAGAAAAACAGCCCAGGACTGAGAGAAATAATTGCCTCCAACCACGAAAGGTAGTGCAGCATCATCCATAAGCACAGAAATAACAATTCCTAGAAATACAGAACAGGTATATGGAATGATCTGAGTACAGCAACCATGTTCAGGAATATCAAGATCAGGATCAACAATGCATGCAGTATGAGGCTATAAAAAGGTCATAGGGTAATATTAGCTGAAGACTGAATAGCCCAACTGCCCCCTACAATTTCACAAGGCTTTAATTTTCTTTGAAAAACTGAGGTACAGTATATGGGCAAAAGTATTGGGACACCTACACATTACACCTACAGGAGCTTTTATGGATCCCATTCTAAATCCATAGGCATTAATATGTAGCTGGTCCCCCTTTGCAGCTATAACAGCTTCCACTCTTCTGGGAAGCTTTCTTCATGATTTTGGAGAGTGTCTGTGGGAATTTTTGCCCATTCATCCAAAAGAGCATTTGTAAGGTAAAACTTAGCATATATAAGTCAATCCTAAAAGAAATTTCACCTACCGATGTCATTTCACTCGCGGTAGAGCCTAAACTTGAACTGTTAATTTAGCAGTAGAATATAAAGTTATGCATTCAGTAATCCATCTAAGATGATCATGCAAACATCTCTAAACAAAGAATTTTAAAGAATTCATGTCTTGAACACTTTTCTGTATCACTGTTTTCTCCTGGAATTGTAAAAATTGCAAAGTGTAAATTTGTTACAAACCAAAAACTCCAATATTTTCATAAAAAAAATTATAATCTAATCTAAATATGGTTTGTGACAAAGATGTCTGCATTTACAATGTTTTCCCTCAGAATTCACCTGTAACACAGAGCAGCCAGCAGAGGTCACTGCAGGGTCTAGGGGGTTAAAGTAGTTCACGCTTGGTAAAGTGTAGCTACACATATGTAAACATTTCAAATGTCAAAAAGAAATTATTATTATTATTATTATTAATAATAATAATAATAATAATAATAATAATAATAATAATAATAATAATAATAAAAATAATAATAATCCTCCATTCACATTTGTGTTTTCCACAGATGTCAACCTAGAGCCAGTATACATTACGTTCTCAGCTTCCAAGCTGTAAAAATTCACTGATACCTTTTATAGAACCATTTATACCATTTCTACCAGTAAAATATTTAGCAATATCTTAAGCTCCTTTAACTTTACCTGTTATGATTTTCTCCACTGTGATATATTCCTCTGGTAATCATTAGAGCCAGGCTGATATCCTTTGGCTGAAAATATCAGCTGATATTAGCTATCCATAATATTTTTACTATTTCCTGATAGTATCACTCATAACGCGCATGATAAATAATGCTTCTTTCGGTCATGCTACCGCCAGGATCTGATCACCTGATCTCCCAATGACCAGGCTAAACCTAGTACAGTTGCTCAGTTATGAGGCAATTCAATATGAGGTATTATCTGTCTGACAGTATTACAGACTGAACAGGTAAATCTGAACACAAATCACCATCATGGTAAAAATGCACCCAAACCCAACATTAAGCATCAGAATAACAAAAATAAGTAGTGATCAACAGAAACCAACAGCGCAAAGCATTCTGGGTAGCTGTGACCCAGGCCTCTCTATATTATTTAAGACAGTGAATTTCTTTTGATTGTCATTGTCAATTACCACACATTTTAAACTCAATCATAAGAGACATTAAAGTAAAACTATCATAGTAAAACACACACACATTTTCTTAATCGCTTATCCTTCTGGGTCACGGCGGGAGCCGGAGCCTATCCCAGTGGTCATTGGGCAGAAGGCAGGACACACCCTGGACAGGTAGCCAGTCCATCGCAGGGCCAGAGTAAAACATTAATATCTAAAATAAAAATCTAATATGATATCGCCCATTATTATTGGTTATTCCCCTATTATTTTTTTAGCCCCCTAAAATCAGTATCAGCATTGGACACAATTTTCATATCAGTCTGGCCCTAGTTTAAACAAGTAACTCGCACTGTTACACAAGATACAAAGACAATCAAAGGCAGTGAGGATGCGAGAGAGCAGAGTCAGGTTACATTCTGCAAACAAAACGAAAAATCTGGCGATGTAGCATGACCTGCAGGGTGAGACTGAGAGGCAAATGTTTGCTGATGCTTTGTGCCTCAAATATTATACTGTTGTTAAGTAAGGTACATTCCAGATTCAGCAACGTTAGTGTTTTTAAAAGGGTCCATATCAGGGAAAAATTAATGTCCCTCATTTTTTTTAAACAAAATAACTTAATGTAGTACGCATTTAAACACTGTTAGACTTTCAAAATGTACTAGTCACCCCCCAGTCCATACAGTCCACATATGGAGAGAATAAAACTACAAAAACAGCCTTTTCAAATTCATTGTTTCTGTGATGTCACAAGAACCGACTGTAGCACGGTCTGTGCTACCCCGGGCTCAAGGAGGACGCTGGAGGCAGGGTTCAGTGTCGCAGCAGCCATGTTTCTTTTATTCACACCACAAAATAAACACAACTCAAAACAACCAAACTATGCTGGCCACTTTCCAGTGGCTTAGGCTGGCTTGACTTTTCAGTCCTTTATCCTCAGCTTTTCAGCTCTTCAGTCCTTGTTGCTGCTGCGTGTCCCTCTCTCTCGCTCTGTTCCCTCTCAGCTCTTTTAAAAGGCGCTCACGCTGCCAGCCAGATCAGCATCAGCTGGCTCTCATTAAGGGCAGAGTGAGCACCTGAGCCGAGAAGGAACGAGAGCTCGCTGCTCCACCTCCTTGTCACCGCCCCCAGCTGGCAGCTCAGCCGCCCGGGTCGAACGTGAGGTGTAGGTCGTCGTCTTCCTCCTCCTCCTCCCGCCGTCACTCGGGTTACTCGGAGGAGCTTGGGCTTTGTGCTCCGCCCCCTCCCCACTCGCGGCTCCCTCCTGGCCAAGGTTCGTCGCCGCTGGTTGTTCGGGCCCCGCCTTCCTGCCGGCTCTCGCGGCCGTCATCACCGGGGCCCGGGGGGCGGGCGCATGCCACACCGACATTCACACATCTGCCTATTCAGCCTACAGCAGTTCAGGCCTGCCTGTTCACACTGAAGTTACTGTTCAGTCTGTATTGCTTTTTGAATGAGGCACAAATCAGAACAGCTCATGTACATTTATCAGTCACAGTGACAAGAACCGCCTGTCTAATGATAAGGGATAAAGAGAGGTTGGAAAGTGGTCATGTAAAATATGAGTTGTGAGCATTTTGGGTACATAAGCACACACAAATGTTAAGTTTATGTGGAAAATTAAGATAGTGGCCCTTGAAAGGAACCCAACCTAAATTCCTGGGCGTTTGATTACAGCATAACAATTTCAGTTCTGGGGAGTGTCAATGTCTTGGCTCGTTTCTTGGAATCTGGTCTGTGTTAAGCGTATGCACGGCAAAAATGTCACATAAATCAGTTTGCCTGCTCCTCCACGCGCCACCTGCAGTCTGAGCAGATGAGTTGGGCTCTAGTAAAACAGAAAGGGAGAAAAGAACAGGATTATTGATGTTAATTGTACAAAGTCTCTGGACAAAACTATATAAGCCTAGATTTCTCATAACAGCTTGGGTTGACATCTGTGGTATTCAGTGCAGTTTCAAAAAACATTTTTAAATTGTACCAAAATAACAGAACCGAGTTGGAAACACATTTCAGACGTTTAACCAACTTTGACCTTAGACTAAAATCCTTTTTGCTTTGAGTGATCCTATAAATATAAATAAATAAATATAAACCATATGTTTATTTTATTAGAATAAATGACTCAAACACTACACTGGTACAAATAAAAATTCTGTTCAGGTACATTTTTCATTCATCAAGGTACAAACAGCGTAAATGTTCCCTCAAAGCTCCAACAGTGGTTTTAAGGTCTGATTGTGAACCTTAAATAAGTTTTTCCAGGTGAAAAGTTCGTATTTGTACCTTTTCATAACCGAATGTTTTAAACAGAACAGTAAAATAAAAGCCTGGAGACGAGACGGGGTGTGTGGAGTCAGTACAGCTTAGAACATATCATTTCAGTGGATTATGGTTCAGTTATGTTCCCTGACTAAAGGTACTGAGATGAACCCTTGAGGGTCCCACCCCAGTGATAGGAGGGGCACTGCCCCAGTGACAGTTCAGTACTTCTGAGAGTGTAGTCACTAGCTTTGAACAGTTGTACACATAAAATGATGATAATTTTATCATTAAAACACAAAAAGGTTTACTTAATTGCAGAAAATGTGTTTTCAGTAGTGACAATTCTTAATGTTCCACACTCATTTTCAGACTTTGGGACACATTTACTTCAAAACAACGGGATCTAACTACTCACTATGTGGCCATGAGGGACAGGGATGCAGCCTCACTTCCTGCACTAAAATCCAGGGGTGTGGCTAAATAAGATTCCACCTATGGACTTAATTTGTTTTGGTACTGACAAAAATGTGGAACAGCATTTTTTGAAGAAGTGCTTTTTGTTTAAAAATTAAACTCTAATAAATCTACATCTTTCAGCTTCACTTGGTCTTTTTAAAAAAACAACATAGAAAAAGAACCACACACACACAAACACACACACATTTTCTAAACCGCTTATCCTTCTGGGTCACGGGGGGAGCTGGAGCCTATCCCAGCAGTCATAGAGCGGAAGGTAGGGTACACCCTGGACAGGTTGCCAGTCCATCACAGGGCAAAAGAAATATACAAAAAACGGAAAACATATTTCCCTAAGTTGAAATTCAGAGGTAATGGAGCCACTTCTCAATAAAAAGTGCCATATAAATAATGCTTTGTATATTTTTAGCTTATTACGATCATAATTTATGCCTTAGATTTAAATAGATCAGCATCAGCTCTATATACTTAATTGTTGTTGTTGGGGACCTCACTAACTTGGAAGACGCTCTGGCATTAAATAGGTGTGTGTGTGTGTGTGTGTGTGTGTGTGTGTGTGTGTGTGTGTGTGTAGATGTTTACAGGCTGCAGTTGTGTGTTCGGGAACGTGTCTCAGGGTGAGGAGGGTGTGGCTGTAGCAGGAAAATGCAGCTCTTCCTGTAACCACATGCCAGCCTTTCTCAGCTTCCTCTTCATTATCATCTCCTTCACCTTCCTGTGCAGCATCCCTGCTCTCACAGCCACACTCAGGTACGTTTAAGAACTGCTTCATTGCTCCAGTGATTACTGTGCTTCAGTGTGCACTGTGCTTTTTTAGTGGCCTCAGTCACTCAGTGCAGCTAAGAAGCTCTTTGCCTCCCCCTGTAGGTGTGTTCCTGACAGCCAGAGGTCTTTTGGACTGGGCATTCAGTGGATTGTGGTGCGGACGCTGGGTACGTTAGACTCTTATTTTGACTTCCTTGTTTTTATACCCCTGTCCATGTGTTCTTCCTCCTATTGTGAGCTGCATAAATATCTCAAATTTAAAGAACTAGTCACTACTGACTGACCTTTCAGCTGGTCTGTAATACCCATTCATGTCCTGCAGGTGGCATCCCGGGACCAATAGCGTTCGGTTCAGTGATCGACATCTCCTGCCTGCTGTGGCAGGAGCAGTGTGGAGAACAGGGGTCCTGTTACCTCTACCATAACTCTGCCATGAGCCAATACACCCTCATCGCTGGCATCATCTATAAGGTAGCACAGCACACTTCAATGCTCACTAACATGCAGGTTGCATCACTTCCCACAGCAGTGGTCATTCTAGGGTTGGGCAGTATCCCCTTTTTTCGATTATTACCGTGGTATGTGGTATTAATAGGGGGCAGGGTGGCGTAAAAGCATTTTTGACGCGTTATTTCAGAATTGAAAAAAATTCTAAAGAGTAGTTAATATGGTCACCAAATAGGTGAACACAATGCACAATTTTAAAGGCATCATTCAATAAATGTCAACTTGCATTGAGGTGACAGAAAGGCAAATTTAAACCTATTCCAAGGTTCAGATCTGAAGCCTAACTGGCTAACTTTGCAGTTGGCGAGCAGATTACAGACCCACATAGTGCCACACATCACACTGTAGGCTTGATTCTGCCAAACTTGTGCTCTGCTCATACAGGTTCAGATGATTAAAAGTCGAGTGAGTGACAGTGTTACGACCCGGTCTAGGTCGGGCGGCAAGAAAAATATAACTTAAACAAAAAGAAAATCAAATACAATTTCTAACCTAACTTCCTAACTAAAGCAAACCAAGAGAAAAAGACAACAAAAATAACCCCCTTTTCCCCAATGAGAGTTTATGTACCAGAGCTATTGTCTGGGCAGCCACGGTAGCTGAGTGTTTACAGTATACTTCAGTGAAAGAGTAACGGCATGAGCTAGCTTTTACAGAAATCTCAACGACAAACAGCAAAGCAGCAATAAACCATACACCAGTAGCGAAGCTCTCACACCAACACAGCTCTACAGCAGTAGTGTCGCTCAAGTGACTGCAGGGAACCGGGAACGCAACAGAAGCCACACCAGAAGCAAAAGTACCCCCCCCACTTCCGCCTGGGCGTCTCTCTTTTATTGGCGGCTCCCCCTGGTGGTGGCTCAGTGTATCTTCCCTCAGCTCTGCAATAAATACAGAAAACACACTACAAAAACTATGACCCATAGGGTTATAACAGACAGAAAGCTGACTTCAAACCTGCTCTGTGGGGTTTGGGACTGTAGCATTTTGATTAAATGTGCCACAAGCTTTGTTCCAGCTAACTGATGCTGAAATTACACCTGTTTAGAGAATATCTGAAAGTGCAAAGGCAAGGCAAGTTTATTTATATAGCACCTTTCAAACACTGCTGTCATTCAAAGTGTTGCAAATGAGAAAATTCAGAGTTGGTTTTAAAAAAAAAGTAAAGTAAATAGAAAAACATAATTAAAAACATTAAAAAAATAATTAAAACATGATTAAAATGAATTTAAAAGAGAACATCATTAAATTAGAAATTAAATTAGGACAGTTCAAAATAAAAACGAAGTTAGATTAGGATTGGGGAAAAAAGTGCCATTACAAAGTAACAAGGGGCTAGAAATGCTAACAGTGTTTAAACTGAGCTTTTACTGGAACAGTATCCTGCTCCTTTCTCTTGGTTTTGAGTGTGCTGTTAAACACTGGTTTCAACCCAGAAACAGCATTGAGTGTTAAGCCTTGGCGATGTGATATCGTCAGTGATAGACAAGTAACCCGATGGTGATGGGTAAAAGGTAATAATCATTTAAGGTGAAAGAAAAGAGAATTAGAACAGCTTGTAAATATGTTGGGAAATTAAGGGTTAACGTATATGAAATGTCCAGCAGGGAGCGCTGATGCGCGGGTTTGCAGTGACATTTATTATAATGACAGATGAAGTAGTTTTCTAAGGATGCTAAGTTACTCAAAATCATTAATATGTGGTTTTAGTAAAGATTTTTTGCTCAAAAAAAACATGTACAGAAATAGAATAGAAAGTAGACCGTTTGTATTTGTTTGGTGGGAGTTGGGGGGGCCAGCAAGATATATTTATTTATTATTTTTTAACTAAAAAATATAATTCTAGATATTTTTGGAGGCCTATTTGGCACTGCTGCCGGTAAAGCAGTAAACTTGAAAAAACTATATTCTATGATTTATTGTGTCTGAAAAGTCTTAAACATTTGTGGCAGGCCTTTTTACAAACATTTGAAAATGCAGCTTTAAATAAGACTTGTGGCTGAAGAGCAATGCTTAAAGAACAGTGTTACAAAAGAATGATACAAGCAAAGGAGCATCAAGGAGAAGGCAGACTAGCTTGAAAGAGCAAAGGAAATCAAAAGCTTTCCCTGGAAAACAAGTCTCTGAGCAAGAGGTCAGGGACAAGAGGGAGGACTCAATCCAGAGAAGTCCAAAAGAGACAGGCTTGTAGGGACCAGGTCTGGCTGTAAGGAGCTTGAGAGGAAAGGCAGACCCAGGAGAAAACAAGGCATTTACCAAATTACCGGTTAAGCCTTGTGCCAGTGCTCTGAAAAGAGAACTCAATGCTGAGCACAGAGCTCTGGAAACGCTCTCCTTAGGTTGGCACAGGTGACAACCATTGATGCTGGTTGATTGCTAGGGAGGTGCCCTGTGCCTCCCTCTTGTGGCCAGTGATGGCCTAACAAGCTGCCCAGCTTTAGGCTGTGTTGTTATAAAACTAATAGATTGGCTATTAAAGACATTATTTAGCAGTGATGAAGAGCCTTTTGCCTGTTAAATGAGGACTGTAAAATATGTGGACCACTGATCTACAACCCCATTTCCAAAAAAGTTGTGATGCTGTGCAAAATGTAAATAAAAAACAAAATGCAGTGATATGCAAATCATTTAATCCTATGTTTTTTTCAAAATAGTACAAAGATGACATATGAAATGTTGAAACAGAGAAGTTGAAAAATATACCCATTTTGAATTTAATGCCAGCAACACATTTAAAAAAAGTTGGGACGGGGGCCTGGTTACCACTGTGTTTCATCACCTCTTTTAACAACACTCTGTAAGAATTTGGGAACTGAGGAGACCACCTGGTGTAGTTTTGAAGGTGCAATGTTTTCCCATTATTGCATGGTTTCAGCTGCTTAACAGTTCAGAGTCTCCTTTGTCATATTTTTCATTTCATAATAAAGCGGCAAATGTTTTCAGTGGGTGACAGGTCTGGACTGCAGGCAGGTCAGTTTGGCACCCAGACTCTTTTACCAAGCCATGCTGTTGTAATATGTTGCAAGAATGTGGTCTGGTATCGTCCTGTTGAAATAAACAAATACTTCCCTGAAAAAGACGTCTGGATGGCACCATATGTTGCATATATCATTCGGCATTAATGGTACCTTCACAGATGTGCAAGTCATCCTCCCATGTTCACCCCCATACTATCACAGATGCTGTTATTTGAACTATGAACTGATAATAAGCCAGATGGTCTCTCCTTTTTAGCCTGCAGGACACGACGTTCATGATTTCAAAAAAGGACCACACTTCCACTGCCTCAGTCAATCATAAATGAGCTTGGGCCCAGAGAATGCGGTGGCGTTTCTGCATCCTGTTTATATGTAGTTTCTCTTTTGCATGGTAGAGCTTTAACTTATTTGTGGATACAGCAAGAACTGAGTTCACAGACTCTAGTTTTGGAAGTGTTCCTGATCCCATGCAGTGATTTTCCTCTATAGAACCAGGTCTGTGTCTGTGTCACCTGAGCGCCCGAAGATCACAACCAGCCAATACTGGTTTTCGACCTTATTTCTTGCATACAGAAATTTCACTGGATTCTCTGAATCTTTTAATGATGTTATGTACCGTAGATGATGATAATCCAAAGTTCTTTGCTATTTTGAGAAACGTTACTCTTGAATTGTTGTACTAATTTCCCATGCAATCTTTCACAGAGTGGTGAACTCCTCCCCCTTTTTACTTCTGAAAGACTCAGCCTCTCTGAGATGCTCTTTTTATACCCAATCATGTTACTGACCTGCTGCCAATTAACCTAATTAGTTGTGAGATATTCCACCAGGTGTTTGTTTTTTTTTAGCATTGCACATTGATTAATTGATATTTACCAGTCTTTTGTTGTCGCTGCCCCAACTTTTTTGAAACGTGTTGCTAGCATCAAATTCAAGATGGGCATTTATTTTTCAAAAAACAAATTTCTCAGTTTCAACATTTTGATATGTTGTCTTTATACTATTTTCAATTAAAAATAGGATTTAAATGATTTTGCTTATCATTCCCTTCTGTTTTTATATAAAATTTGCATTTAGCGTCCCAACTGTTTTGGAACGGGGTTGTATGTTCTACATTAATTCTTTGTCGTTTCTGTCTGTCTCCTTTTGTGTGTCTCTCTCAGGTTTTAGGCACTCTATTCTTCCTGCTGGCGAGTGTGTTATACCAGCCTCCTCCGGAGTCTCCTCAGAGCAGCTGTGAGAGCACAGACCAGGGGGCAGGAGACAGCGGGGGGGAAAACGGAGACTTTCCTATCAAAGACCTCCCTCCTGAGATCATAGCCAATGTACACGCCAGGTTGTGACCTCCAACTCCAAACACACACACATGGGCCCGCTCACCTCTGCTCACTTCACCCCACCTGTGTGAGTGTGTGTGAATGTGTGTAGTCCGTCAGCTTCATTACAAGCTCAGATACAACAAATCACACAGTGTTCCCTGTGACCGTGCACCATTTAGACCAGAACGCCAGCTTCGGAACTGTCGCACACACCCGCTATGTGGCAGCCTTAAGTTCTCCTTCCCACTGCTACCTGACCTACATGACCAAATCATCTGAATGGGTCATCTAAGACCAGAGGTCAAAGGTCTCAGTGCGGTTTACTCTGCTGGTGTTCATCATGATACTGCAAACATCTTTCAGCTTCAAAGGACCGATTTCTTTCAAAGAACTGGTGATGCACATTGGGAGATGCAAAAAGAAAGGTTTTACAATGCTTGTGCACTAAATGTTCATGGTGAAAAATAACTGGCATCATACAGAACCAGAGCTGATGATGAATCAAAGCTGCAGTCAGTACATTTTTTGTTGAGACCCTAAGACAGTGATCAACATCCCTCCTTTTGGCAGTCTACCTTCCTGCAGAATTCCAGGTCCAACCCTAATCAGCCCCACCTGATTTGTCTACTTACTGCCTTCCAGAAGTCCTTGAGGTGTGTTAGATTACATTCACATTCATCGTTTTAAAGCTTTTGTATTAAATATGATCTTTCTGGTGTTTTTTTGACGGTTCACTTTCACATAGTAAAGTGACCTGTATCCTTTAGTGCGAGCACAACTGCGACATGAAACATGCGGGCAGACAAATTGTCATGAACATTAAGTAAACTAGCTGCACAAACCCTCTTCACAGCGGTTCATTATTCGAATGAGAGGCACAAAAAAGATAAGATGCATTGCTTTTGCTGCATTTAGCTTCAAAGGTGCTGCTGCCACAGTTAACAAAGTGCATTCAGTCGAGATAAAAAAAAAAAACACGACTTCCATTCTGACCGTTCTCATTAAAGTCAATGTGAATTGAAATCAAAGCATGAAAAGCTTGTTCCACAATGTGACATTTATGAGTGAAACAGGATATTTGGGTAGGGATTAAAGGGGACCTATTCACCCTCTGTTAGGATGTTAGGGTTAGTGTGACCCTAACCCCCTGTTAGAGCTCCTGTGTCTAAACACCCCTCCTGATGAGTTTGGTCAGTTCGCCCACTCTGTTATAGTTGTTTAACTGCCAGAGCGGTTCCACCCCTGCACGTTCCACCCCTGTCTTGCAGTCTACAGAGACCCTTCTGAGCAGCTGTAAACACCGCTGCGGCTATTTGGTGTCGGTTCTGCCGTGTAAGTTTGAGTCAGAATCAGGTTCTGAAGGTCAAGTCAGCATCTTCGACATGGCTACAAAACTGAACAGACTCTTCCCAGCCTCCAGTAGTTGCAATGCATTGTGTGAGGGTGTGCCAAGCTTACCGGTAGGTGGGCAGTAAGGACTGTGTTACGAGAGTGCGTCATCTTGTAATTCAGGAAAAGGGACAGAATTCCAACGAGGCATTTCAGACAGCTGCGAAAAGTGGTTTCTGTGGGAGAGAGTTACTCTGTCATGTACCTCGAGCTTTATAATATTGCAGACTATTTACATGCACAAAAAGCTATAACATACTAAAGGAAATGGAAAAACCAGAAAAGCATAACAGGTCCACATTTAATTTTAGGCAGGACATGATTTTATCAGTCTTTCCAAAATAAACATTGAATCAGACCCAGACACTTATCTACAGTCAGTTCTGGAGGACTTGCTTTCTGCAACACCTCTAGCACTCATGATGGAGGAGGTGGGACAAAATTCTGGTAGTATATTAGGTGCAAGGGGGGAGTGGGAAGGAAGGGAGGAAGATGTTATGATATTACTGATTAATAGTTTCCCCCACCTGTGGTCCACACTGCTCTACTGCTGTCTAATGGCTTGTTAAGGCCCCATAATAACAGTGTTTTAACATTTATGGTGATTAATGCGTTATATGTATACATTATTTAGCCGGCGGTTTAAAGAGAAATTGGCCCTCTCTAGTTAGTCTGTCAGTTCTTTTGATTTATTGCCTTTTTTATGCCTTTTATCACCATTGGCTTATCTGATCACATAGCTCGATCACCAGGCCTACCAGGGACAAGAACAGGGTGAAAATGGTCAATGTGGATTTCAGGTTGATTTTAAGATGGAATGGCCATGAATCAGATACGTGTCTGATCGAGGACCAAATATGAAAATGGCTAAGGTTGGATTTGAAAAGATCAGATTTGTCAAATCAAAGTCAAGTCAAAGTTTATTTGTATGGCGCTTTTTACAACAGGTGTCGTCATAAAGCAGCTTTACAGAAAAATTCGGGTCTGAGCCCCCATGAGCGTTGCCGATGGCGACAGTGGCAACAAAAAACTCCCGAAGAGGAAGAAACCTTGAGAGGAACCAAGACTCAAAAGGGGAACCCATCCTCCTCTAGTCGACACTGGATAGCAAACAGCGTTAGAATAAAATATTAGAATACAAAACGGGAAAAACAGGTGGAGCAATGGTTAATTAGCTAGTTTGAGTTTATGCAGCAGCAGCAGGAGGGTCAATTCATGCAGGTGAGGTTTGCACAGCTTTGTACAGCATGAAACTCCATGGTGGTCAAAACGATGCAGATCAGCCAACAGAAATGGGGCTGTGGTGACTCTAGCAGCTCTGGTGGCTCCCATGTGGCGACTCAGGCAGACATCGCTCAGGGGCTCAAATAAAGGGAGGGAGAGCAAAAGAGAGCCAAAGAGAGATTGATTAACAGGACAGGTCCATTTACGGAGAGATATTAGTGAGTTAATAGTGCAACAACTGATATTAGCAAAATGTTGTGCAAACAGAAAAGTTTTGAGTCTAGTTTTAAATGCAGAGAGTGTGTCTGAGTCCCGAACAGAGGTCGGGAGATGATTCCACAATTTTGGGGCTACATAGGAAAAAGCTCAACCGCCTGCTGTGGTTTATCTAATTCCATTTTGTGAGCGGAGCGTACGTGTGGGTTCATATGACTGAATTAATTCACTAAGATACTGCGGGGCCATTTAACGATTTATACGTTAAGAGAAGGATCTTATACTCTATAGGACATTTGAACAGTGTCCACACAGCTCGAAAAATGGCAAAAATCTGATTTGTGCCTCTTTGTGAACATAACCTTATCTTTGAGTTGGAGGTAAAACCTGCAGGAAGGTACATGTCCAGGGGAAGTGCTGCTCTAAAAAGGCCTTTCCGAAAAATTGGAAGTCCTGAAGCAGATTTTTGTATGCACACCAGAATTTTGCGGGCGTCTGCATGCCCCCCTAGATACACTGCTTGTGTACACCTGCAAACGCTGGGCTCATCTGAAAGCTTCAGGATGCACTTTTTTATTATTTTATTTTATTTTTTATTTTTTTACAAAGGTCCCTTTTAGGGTCTCGCCACATTTTAAGAGCAGGTTCTTGTTTGAACAGTCTGGGTTATTGTGAATGAATCGTCTCATTTGTCAGAGCATGCAGTGTCATTTTTGAGTCAACGGTGTTCAGATGGCTGTTATTCCTACAGGAGTTCTATCACTGACGTGTAGCTCTAAAGCTCACCGATTGCAATTTTGAAGACACAGAAGCTATCAAAGCTTATCAGTTCTCCAGATAACATTATCAGAAGTTTAAAAGTAAGATTATTATTATTATTATTATTTATTACTATAAACAAATTAAAGGAATTCTCATATACTTTACTAGAAAAGCCTGTCTTATTCAAAAGCACTTAATATTTACATAAAAAAAGTATTAATAAAGCATTAATGATATATAAATGAGATTGGAAAATTAGGAAATGGATGCAGATACAGTAAGTACATTGCCGCTCAAACACACAAAGTCAAAGGACATTTTTGTAATGAAGTTCTTGCAGGTTGCGAGAATAAGCTAGCGACAATAGGTGGTGCCTTACTAGACTACATCACAAGTTAGCAAACTAATCACACTATCATATAATTATCCTGCTCAGCTTTCAGTCTTGTAACCCCAAACTTTCTAATTGCACTTTAAAACAAAGTCACTTCTTCACTGCGGACCATATATTTCAACTATATAGGCGACAATATTGATATAGCATATAAGCCATTCAGCCAGTTTAGTGTTTACTCCTATGCCACACGACTCTGTTCATGAAATATCATTGCTTACTGCCTATCACGAACTAGAAAGTAGGAAAAAGACATAATTCTTGTATTTTGATGTTATACTTTTTGAACAGATTTCCAGTTGTGCCAAAATACTGTACCTCAGGACTGTGCAGAATGGCTTTATGGGTTTGGTTTCTGTTGTAAACAGTTAAAAAAATGAAAACGATAAGCAACAAACAAAAAAAAAACATGAAAATGGTTGATATCCAATTATGTTTGTAATTATGGTGACTAAGATGCATTGAATTTATAAATTCATATTATAAAAAAGCAGTTCATCCTGATGACTGCATGGAGAACCAAGTGCTCAAATTGACCATTTTATTATGAAAAATGTCTAGAAAGACTGACAGCAGTTATTTCCATGAAGTGTCTCGTCATCTATTTTTTTCTCACTTCTGTGCTATTTCAAGCACCGTTCCGTTTCATCCGTATGAATATATAAACAACCAAAATGGACTTAGCAAATGCCACTTTATTGAATATGTTATTAAGGTTTTATTTATTTTTTTCCTTTATTTTCAACCTGGATCCTTAAAAGCTGTTTATTCTTTTTATTTGCGTCTTTTTTAATGCTTTTCTGCTGAAATCATATTTCTATTCAGATGACTGTGCTTTTGAGAAAAGAGGAAAAAAAAAAAGAAAAGAAAAGCTCAATGAGTTGCATCCTTACTGGGATTACTTGCTGTTAAACAAATGCACTTAGAAATCTTCAAAGGATTTGCACATCATTAAAAATGTGACATCGGGGGCAGTAGATTTTAGAAGCAGATTTTTTGTGTTGTTTTGTTTTTCCCGCCCTAATAACTACAAGAAAGAAGGCCTCTTCAGTCATTGTGTTCTTCCCCCATAAGCATTTGTTAGTGTGAAACCCAGTGTCAGTCTTTGTCATTGATGTTTGGTGTTTATTTGAATGGTGATGTCAGACCATCACATTCTTTGCCAATTAAAATGAGGGGGGTGGGGACGGTGGGGGCGGGTTTATATTTTTGGTTTGGTACTTTTGATTGGTATCTCTTTTATGATGCAAAAGTTTCGATAAGTGTTTTTGTAACAAGCAACTGCCGAATCCAAAAACCTGAGTCTGAGTCTTGATTCATGAGACAATTGTTTGTGTGTGTGTGTGTGTGTGTGTGTGTGTGTACAAACATATTCTTATTATTTTTGTGTCTTGTTATCAGGAGCAACAAAGTGATCCTGACATGCTCTCACACTGCCTGCTTCTGTGCAGTGCTGCTCCCACAATCCCTGGAGCAGGGGGCCAGTATGACACTGAAGCTAAATAATCACTTGCAAACATTTTCACTATTGAGATCCTCCCTCAAAAGACTTCAGTAATGCAGAGATTAATAAGTGATTATCACATTGATTTATCAGTCTACTCAGGCTTTAGCAGAGCTCAGTAACACTGAGATTAATAACTGATCATCACACTGATTTATCAGTCATTTATCATATATACACACACACACATTTTTTATATATATATATATATATATATATATATATATATATATATATATATATATATATAAATAGTGTGTGTGTGTGTCCTCACATCTCTGTTCTGTTCCAGTTTTCTGCTCATCACAGCACTACAGTCCTTTATTAGCTTCTCTCAGCCCCCCGGTGGCTGGAATAGAACACTGCACCCTGTCAGAGGAGCCATGAGGAATACGAATGTATCTGTATGTGTATAAACACATTTCTGTAATCATACTGGATCTGACAGCAGGAGCTCCATAGAGGAGGGAACAGAACTGAGCTATGAAGAGAAGGAACACAACCAGTCCAAACCACACTGTTTGCTGGCTTTCAAAAAACAAGAAATTCTAGTTGCAACAAGTCAGCAGTGTGAATAAGGGTGAATGAAGGGGATTTAAACAAGTTTACTGGAACTTATAGACATATAGACATTTGTTAGCGTAGTTTAAAACCAAGGTTCACCACATCCAAGGACACTGGTTTCCCTGCTTTCTGTTAATGAAGCAGATGTCAACAAAAAAAGAAGTAAAAAACCTGAATAAACCTGGAAGCCTAACAGCAAATATAGAGGAACATGTTTAATGGAGAAGTTCTATGTTTAGAAAAGCTGATCAGTCAAAGGCTACTTATTTCTGCTCATTAATGCAGGCACAGCCTTAATAGTGAACATGAATTCAAAGAAAAGGCCATGCAAAAAAATGTCAGAACTAGCAGGAATAGGTGCAGTTTTAAGTAAGGCCCAACGTCCAATAACAGTGTGAACTATTTGAAATGTAAGAAAAACTGTTGTAAGAAAATGAATGGCAAGGTTTCAAGGACTGCAGTTGAGAGAAACTGTTTCCATGGATACTACAGGTGCTGGGCTCTGGGGACTGTGATTTATAGACAGTTATGCTCACTCACACACACACACACACTCACACAAACAGACATAAATGAGCTGAATGCACTTGCGGTTATGAGCCGGACCCACAATCACTTAAAATTTATTTGAAAATGAGCACAGCAGTGAGGCTGTTTGGACACATTCTTGTATGTTGAGACATACAAGACATACATTATTTTTTTTGAATGCCTGACTCTCTTGCTTCATCCTTTCCCTCATCCTAGCTTCAGGATCGATTATATTATCTTATGTTTCTCTCTTTTTCTGTTTATCATTAGTGATTTAGTGGAAAGCCACAGCTGTTACAGCTGCTGAACAATTACAGCAATATACCATAGTCCAGTGGCAAGAGCATGTATACGGGTCATTCTACACAAACGTCCACTTTTCTGTCTCTCCATAGGAGTCACTGGTGTTACTGATCGTCATTGGTTACACATAAGAAAGGGAACACCAGAGACATTTTTAATGAAAAATGCATTTTACTAAATGGCTGCTACAGATGATCAAACCACATGTTGTCAGTCATGGAATATCCACCAAAATATGTAATTTAATCCATTTTATCCATCCATCTATTTTTTCACAATTACCTCAGAATAAACTGGGTCACACCAGTGACTTCAGCTAAAAGCTCCATATGAAATCATGAGCTAAATGAGAAAATCTCTGATAACTGAAAGACACAGTGGACTCACCATGAGCTTTTCTTCATAGATCCTCAGAAAACAGGTAAAAGGAAGTCAAGTGATTTTTATTTCAAAATAAGAGTTTTTTTTATTAT